GCTTTATGAGTCTGATATCAGTCCAGAACCAGCCAGGGACAGGGCTTTATGAGTCCAATATCAGTCCAGAACCAGCTGAGGGACAGGGTCTTTAGAACAGAACCAGCTGAGGGACAGGGTCTTTATGAGTCTATTATCAGTCCAGAACCAGCTGAGGGACAGGGTCTTGTTGTGATGTCCTCATACAGGTTAGTAGTTAATAACTGAGTTTCTCACCAGCTGGGTGAAGCGCTGCTCCAGAGATCTGTACTCGGAGGAGCTCTTGTTGAACAGATCACTGGAGAAGGCCATGTTGGTGACCCTCAGGCTGAAGAACACCGTGAGAGCCCGGCCAGCAGGGGGCACCGTGGGGGGGGGAACCTCCATCTCTGCCCCGCTGGAGGAACCACTGCCGTCTCCTTCAGGATCAATAACACTGAGTGGGAAGACGTCGAAGCTCGGGGAGTCGGAGAAGACCTGCTCGGAGGGGGGGGGAACCTCCTGTGGAGAGGAGGACGATGTTCGGAGGGTTTCTGCATCTTCTGATTCATGGAGGAGCGCCGGCAGCAGACCAGGAACACCTGGACCAGATCAACGGTTCAAAGGTACCATAATATGTTACAAACTGAGAGAAGCCTGGACCCTCCTTTATTAACGCGTTGCCTGGACTTTAGGGAAAGATTCAATGAATAGAATCTAATGATTGTTTTAGTTCATCAGACCACACTGGTTTAAATTAAGCTGCCATTGTAGCTCACACGTAGCACAGTATGCTAAGTTAGAATAAAGTCTGCTCAGACCATCAGCAGTAAACTATGAAACCAGACCCTTATTCTGAATGTAAACAGGAAGTAGACCTCGGGGAAAACGTAAACAAACCCACCTGCCGCCGGGGCGCTGCTTGGACTTTCTTCTTCGTGGGTTTGGATCTGACGGTGCAGCACCTCCTCGTCCTCCGGCTCTGAGTTCGAGACCCGGGTGAATGGAGAGTCTTTCTCCGGAAAGAGGGCGATGCTGACGGAGGACGAGGGTGGAGACGAGGAGACGACCATCACCTCGTCCTCCACCAGGTCCTCCTCTGGGAGGAAGACCGGCAGAACGGGATTTACCGGGTCAGCGGCGCCGAGGTGCTGCTCCTCCAGAACCTCCACCGCATCAGAGGGCCCGGGTCCTGGGAGCAGAGGGTCCAGTTCTGAGACAAACTCCACTTCTGATCCGGTGCTGGACTCTCCTTCTTCAGGGACTTCCTGTTTCTCAAAGACTTCTTCTTCTGATGTAGACCCATTTGTAGGCTCCACAGCTGCTTCTTCTTCGGTGGTGTCAGAGAGATAGACCGCCGTTGGTCCTGCAAAGACCGGAGCCTCCAGAGTCCAGTCCTGATGGTCCTGATGGCCCTGGAGGTCCTGATGGTCCTGAAGGTCCTGATGGTCCAGATGGTCCTGGAGGTCCGGAGACCCGGTGATGGAATTCCCGTTGAAGACGATGTCATCGAAGACACCGGATGCCTCTTTCAGTTCCACGGTCAGCGTAACCTGAGGCCAGAACACCGGGGCCTTGGGGGTGGTGGAGAACCGCGGGTTGGTGCTGATGTGAGGCGTTACCAGGCCCAGGTTCAGGTCCAGGTCCGGGCTTCCTTCCACAGCTGGATCAGCAGTCGTCTTTAGAGGAGGAGCTTTGGTGATAACTTCCTGTTTCTCTTCCTCCTCGTCTTCCTCGTCCTCCAGGTCCGGCGGCGGCAGGACCTCCATGCTGCCCCCCCCCTCAGAGACAGGCTTGGGAGACCAGGACCAGAGGTCAGACCCAGGTCCGCCTCCAGAGGATCCAGAACCTGATCTTTCATCAGTCTGAGGTTTCAGAGTCGGTGACGAGGCGTTACTGAGGAGGAAACCCTCCGCCTCTAAACCTCCATCTGTAAACAGGAAGTGCTCAGTGAGGGGATCCCTTTCAAAATAAAAGTTGTATAAAGATCTATAAACAGGAAGTGCTGAGTGAGGGGGTCCCCTTCAAAAATAAAAGACGTATAAAGATCTGTAAACAGGAAGTGCTCAGTGAGGGGGTCCTCAAAATAAAAGGCTTATAAAGATCTGTAAACAGGAAGTGCTGAGTGAGGGGGTCCCCTTCAAAATAAAAGGCTTATAAAGACCTGTAAACAGGAAGCGCTGAGTGAGGGGGGTCCCCTTCAAAATAAAAGTTGTATAAAGATCTATAAACAGGAAGCGCTGAGTGAGGGGGGTCCCCTTTAAAATAAAAGACGTATAAAGATCTGTAAACAGGAAGTGCTCAGTGAGGGGGTCCCCTTCAAAATAAAATACGTATAAATGTTTTGATTATGAGTTTAAGTGCCGATGTTTCTCACCGTCTTTGCGCAGTCCGACCGGCTTCGTGCTCTCATCCAATAGGAAGACGTCATTCTCACTGGACCCGCCCCCCGCACCTTTCCACGAGTCGAACAAGAAGTCATCTTTGCTGAGATTGGCCTCGTGCAGCGGAGCGTCCGGAGGCTTCTCTACAGCCAGGACGCTATCCTGGAATATATAGAATAATATTATATATATAATATTATATATATACAGTATATTATATATATATATATATAATATAATATATTAAATGCTTCTATGTTTATTACATATTCACATTTCTATATACCCACCATGCTATGGGAGGCCTCCGGGCGGCTGGTGGTCTTCACCGCCGGTAACGAGTTCTCCGCTGTGGAGACAGAGAAAAGACCTGTGACTACACTGATGGACTGACACAGGACGTAGAAACCAGAACCATATAATGGTGTGGGATGCAGGAAACCAGAACTACAGGAAAGCTGGACTACAGGAAAGCTGGTCTACAGGAAACCAGAACTACGTACCGGTTTGGGACGCCTCCAGGCTGCTGTTGCCCAGGAAGCCGTCTTTGTGCAGTGCCTCAGTGATGTAGTTCCTGAAGTCGGTGATGGTGTAGACCACGGTGGGTTGCTCAGCGGCCCCCGGGTAGTTCTTCTCCACCAGGTTGTTCTGCAGAGAGATGAAGTCCAGGGTCGCGTTGTTCACCCCACTGCTGCCGTCCACCTCCAGGGTGATGGAGTACAGGACCAGGACCACCAGACCCCTGTGAGAAAAAGAGATGTAACACCAGAACCCTGAGACTAACACCAGAACCCCCAGACTAACACCAGAACCCCCAGACTAACACCAGACTAATACCGGAACCCCCAGACTACCACCAGAACCCCCAGACTAACACCAGAACCCCCAGACTAACACCGGAACCCCCAGACTAACACCATAACCCCCAGACTAACACCAGACTAACACCGGAACCCCCAGACTAACACCAGACTTACACCAGAACCCCCAGACTAACACCAGAACCCCGAGACTAACACCGGAACCCCAAGACTAACACCATAAACCCCAGACCCAAGTGTCCGAAATAAATCACAAATATAAATAGAATTATGAAAAAAACGTTTTAATTTATATTTGTGAAAAATGTTCAAAAATGTTCTTCAATTTATTTTTTCTGCATCGGCCAAACGGCTCGCTGCACCCTCGCTGCGAGGGGGACCCAAGCTCCCATCAGCAAAAAAAAAACTTTCCTGGAAAGGGGGGGGGGCAGCTTGACCGTCGTAACTCTTAAAGCGTTTAGTAGTGAGGGGTGGTTGTTGTAGAGCCTGGTGTAATCCTGCAGAAGTGTATCACACAGAAGCAGACTGATGCTAACTGACGCTAACTGACGCTAACTAACGCTAACTAACGCTAACTGACGCTAACTGACGCTAACTAACGCTAACTGCCGCTAACTAACGCTAACTGCGTTACAGGGGATTACAGGGGGGATTTGACAGGAAGCTGAAGGGGGAAACCACAGGTTCTTCAGGAAGTCAGAACCAAAAGTGATCTTGGAGGGGAAACAAATTCACATTATTGGAGTTAATCGGACTCACCGCTCCAGGTCCTTCTGCGGCCTGCGGACACAATTCATTTGTAAGATAAATACTTTGATATTCAAACATCTTCTGTGTGTGTCTTAAATAGTGATAAATACATAAAACCAGCCGCACCTGAACTCCACCACGCGGACGCTCCTGAAGTCCGGCAGCCGCTCCAACGCATCCTGGATCTGAAACACACAGGTTTTAAATCAGGATTTTGAAAGAGGCCGTATGTGTGTGGTTCTGCTGATGACCCACTGTACAGCACCAGTGAACCCTGAGCAGAACATACAGAGGTTCCTGGTTCCAGACTCAGAGAAAACAGAACCAGAGCTGAGTCTGCAGAACCACAGAGTCCTACTGGGAAACACCTCTAGAACCACAGAGTCCTACTGGGAAACACCTCCAGAACCACAGACAGAGTCGTACTGGGAAACACCTCCAGAACCACAGAGTCGTACTGGGAAACACCTACAGAACCACAACACAGAACCACAGAGTCCAACTGGGAAACACCTCCAGAACCAAAGAGTCCTACTGGGAA